TTCTGAAAAACTACAGAGGATTTTCAGACAACACGAGATCCCAGTCTATTTCAAACCTACAAACACTTTAAGACAGAATCTGATCCAACCCAAAGGACAAAACACCAAGCCACAAACAAAGCAATGTGCTCTACTCCATTCAGTGTACTGAAGACTGCTGAAGACTGTATCTCTGGAAACCTCAGACTCTGAACTCTTCATTTCTGGATGTTTAAATGTGATTCAACTCATTTACAGGTTTATAACAACTCACTGAAAATGAGAGTTTACCTGGTCAGGTGCAAAATCGAAAACAAAAAACTACATTCAGCTTCTGATATCTGCATGTTCTGAGCACTATATTCATAAAAAAAAATTCAAATATACTTTGTATTTAAACAGATTTCATATCACCAGATACAGTAGAGCCAAGTGTGCACCTGTTTTTACCTGTTGTTCACCTGTGTGCACCTAATTCATTTTTTCCATTTAATTAAGTCAACTCATTTAGCTTATTATAATATAATAATATAATAATAAAACTCTTCCTCATCAGTGGGTGTCCAGTATTTGTCATCTTGGTTACTTTCTCATGTGCAGAGCTCTGCATAAACGTTTGTTTCTGTAGCAATTCTGTTATACATCTCATCTTGAAAAAAAAAAGAGAGAAATATTTTAAAGGACTGGACTGAGCAACATCCAGATTTCGGGGCAATTTTGGTTCATAATCGAGTCTAAAGTCCCTGATAGTTTGTTTGGATGTTGCAGGACTCCACACAGACGCATCAGCGGCATTCTCATCTTCGTAAGTTTCACTCTCTGTAAGTCCGTCTCTATCGCTGTTTTCCACTTTATAATCAACTTCAACATCACTTTGAAATCTATAAAAGTCACTTTCTCTAAACTTATCCATAAAATACATCCGCTCCTCATTATTTCTAAAACTGTGCGCCACAGCGCCGCAATCTTTCCATTGCACCATCATCACTACTTCGATTAACTTTGGAAAAAATCGACGAAAACATATCCTTGAAACCTATTGGTCAGTCTAGTGTCTGTTGTAGTGGCCCCAACCTACAACAGTCTTTGTTTAAATATGAAAAACTGAGCCGTTTCTAATGGTCGTCAAATCACGTTTTTAGTGAAACAGCGGAGGTGTCAAAAGACGTCATTAAGGAAACAGGAGGGGGTCGTCAAATGTCGTCTTCATGGGGGAAAGAGTTAACAAAGCTATTTTTGTTAAGAAAGAGAGGTCTCAGACATCATCTATTTCCTATTTGCAATGTCATCCTCAAATCTATAAAAATAAATAAATAAATAAACAAATAAGAAAACAACAGGGAAAGCCATGTCAGGCCCAGAGGTGTGAAAGCACCCATCAGGGGCCTGAATGATTCTGCTAAAATGATTCAGTGTAATTTCAATAGGCCTAACTAACTAACACAAACTGTAAACAAGTGTGTGTGTTAGTTTCAGAGTAGTTTCAGTGTAGTTTGCTCCTCCCTACAGACACATATAAGGCAGTTTCCACCAGCGTCTGACTAGAACTGAAGAAGCAGCTTGAAATGTATTCGAACAAAATAAACTGTCCAGTTGACAAATTGAATTTCTTCTTTTACCAGTAAATTGTATTATAGCATCAGTTTAGACCAGATATCTCAGAAGCCGATATCTGATTCGTATTTGATGGTCAGCGCATCCCTAAAGATTAAATCAGCAGAACATCTATGAACTAAAATTGCAAAATAAAAAAAAAGTAAATGTACTCAAATGAAATGTGTAAAGTGTTTGGCATCTCCACCCGCGGGGAAACTATCATTCAACTCTTTCTCTCCATAAGCACTTTGGATGAAATGCCTGGCTTTAGATTAATGAACAGTAAAAGCTTTTAATAGGCCTTATGCCAGCTTTGTATTGACGAAACGCACTGGTGCTGTTTCATTACGGGCGCAGCTCATGTGTCAACTGCCACTCACGCTCGATGCCAGTCTTCATATCCTGTGAGCTTCTGCCTTATTATTACTGCGCCATTATTTCTGTATTAAGAGATTGATGGCATAGTGCATATCTGAGGGCACTGCACACGCAATTGTTTATCCTCCCTGATGTTTTTAAAGCCTTTTCAAAGTAAAGAACGCGCATTTCCAGCGGCGAATGGGGGAGATGAGGTGTAATTTGAAGTTTCAGACTTTAGCAACTGCGCTTTTTGTCAAACTGCAGGCTACAAAACAGCCCGGCTTCAGACAGCACAGACAGGCAGGCAGGCATCTCCAAACCTTTATATTAAATCCTTAAGAGTCGCATACAAATGTTATTCCGTTAAATAAAGAGCTACTGGAGCGTGCGCCTGGATTGTTTCTGTCTGACAGGATCCCATTAAAAATATATGATCAGCGCGTTTATTGCCTAAAAGCGTTATCAGTCTGGCCCTGAACGCACCTGGAGTTTGTAAAGCTCTTGAAATGCAGATGGAGGCTTGAGGGGGAGATGAAGGGTAAAAGAGGCTGAAGTTTGTGCGTTTTTAGTGGTTTTAATAATCCGCATAGAAATTTGTCCTCTGCATTTGACCCACCCTTCAGTGCGTCCCAGAGCGGTGTGCAGGTTTGATCTCAGCTGGAGAATTGTACCTACTGCGCATGTTTATTGCAGAGTTTCAGACATCACGAAATTCAATCAGCCAATACTCTTTAATAGATGGTGGGCAGCTAAGATGAATATTATTGTTGCTATTTTCTGATTATACTGTTGTTTCCTCCTCTCAAACAGACATGAAGTTGTGTTTTGTTTCATATTTAGGCCAAGTTCGCTCAAACAGAGAACACTCCACCTTGTGATGTCATGTGGTGATACAAGAAGTGCTCCAAAGTTAGTTTTTAAACTCATTAGAAAAATTTTGAAAAATGTTTGCACTGGAATTGCCTTCTGAACTAAAGGTGTTAAGCTGTTAATTTGAAAACTATGCTTCATGACATCGCAACTTGGAGTATTTAAAGCTTTGCAGATGTAGACAAACAAATAATAAAGGATTACTCAAACATGTGTGAATGAAACAAAACACAACTCCAGCTCTGTTTTTAAGGAGGTGACAAGTTTTAACATGGCTTCCTAAGAGTGAATTGTCAATTGTGCATTAGAGGACCCTCAAGGCTTATTCATACTTCATAATAACATAAGAACTTTATTATTGCATCCAGGCCAGCTCCTGTTGGGCAGAGCTTGAGGCTTGTTCTCAACACCTCAGCTGAGTAAAACTGTGTTCAGCAGCTCAGCAGCGCTGTCCCACATCTTTGCTCTGATTGGATATTTATGTGGGCGTGGCTTTATTTGCTTCCTTGCCGGTGTGGAACAAGAAAAAAAAACACGCTCAGTGACTATAAAAATGCCAAATGACAAGAAATTCATGGAGGGAGATCACAGACATTTTAGGCTTGGACGAAAATCAATGAAGAAAAGTCTGACAAAGAAAATCTCCATGACAAGTTACGCCAAAAGGCAGGTCACCAAAAAAGAGCATTCAGGCTGGAGGACGGAAAGAAATGCCCTCGCTGTAAACCCCCCGCAAGTGGCTGGACTCCTTCATTAAACACAAGGAAACATCACCAATATGACTCCTCTTCAAGTCAAACGGAGGGAGGATATTAATACTGAGCTAATAGGAGTGAGGGGGCAGGGCAGAGTGAGGGGGCGGGGCAGAGTGAGGGGGCGGGCAGAGTGAGGGGGCGGCAGGTGAGGGCGGGGCAGAGTGAGGGGCGGGGCAGAGTGAGGGGCGGGCAGAGTGAGGGGGCAGGGCAGCTCACAGCAGAACATATTTCAAAGTATGAAATGTCAGAGCCCAAACTAATTGTATTCTTGTTCTTCTTACCTCAACAACACGAACAAAGTTCTTATGTTCTCATGAAGTATGAATAGACCTTTAAGGTCTTATAATGAAGTCTGTGATGGACAGTGTTGGGGAGTAACAGATTACGTAATCAGAGTACAAATTATGAGTAACTGTATTCAGTTACAGTTACTGTTTCAGTAAGTGGTAATTGGATTACAGTTACTTTGTTGAAATAAATGGATTACACGGTGTTATTTTCCTGTTTTCACATTTTGGGCTATTCCCTTTTTCTTTCTTTTTTTCGGTAATTCCACTCATTGCCGGACATTAAACCAGGTCTAAAACCAGGTCTAAAAGCAGGTCTAAAAGCAGGTCTAAAACCAGGTCTAAACCAGGTCTAAAACCAGGTCTATACCCAGGTCCAAACCAAATCTAAACCTGGTCTAAAACCAGGTCTAAACTAGGTCTAAACCAGGACTAAAGCAGGATTAAAACCAGGTCTAAACCAGGATTAAAACCAGGACTAAAACCAGGTCTAAAACCAGGTCCAAAACCAGGTCTAAACTAAGTCTAATCCAGGTCTAAAACCAGGTCTAAACCAGGACTAAACCAGGTCTAAACCAGGTTTAAAACAGGATTTAACAGGACTAAACCAGGACTACACCATGCTCTGCGGACCATGTCTCCTCTTCTTCTATCAGTAATATTTTTAATTTGGTTAAGTAAAGACTTGGCCTTTTCATTTTCTTTTATCAGACAAAACATTTTATGTGAAGATTTCCTCGTCTTTGCTTCTCTACAGCAAACCAAGTAATCCAAAGTATTCAGATTACGTTACTCACTTTAAATAATTTAATGGATTACGTTACAAACTATATTTTGGGGTATGTAATCTGTAATCTGTAGGGGAATACATTTTAAAAGTAAACTTCCCAACACTGGTGATGGTGCAGTACTTATGGGTTTGTTGCTTTAAAGCTTTAAGCATGTATCTGCAGTGGTTCTTAACATATGAGATGGTGCCTGATGTTCTTGAATCCTTTTCTCACAAGTGTCTGTGTTGTCGTGACAACAAGAAAAGTCACATAGTCTGGTTTTAAAGTTGTGTGAAGTAATAATACTGTGTTTCCTCCCACAGTCTGGACTCTATGATAAAGTGGATGACAAACGTTCATGTCGTCTCTGTGCTGGTACTCACAGTGATCTTGCGTTTGATGGCCGTGAGCTTGTCCTGGGCAGCAGCCAGCTCAGCGTTGGCCTTGCTCAGAGCCTGGCGTTTGGGCTCCACCTCACAGTAGACCTGGTAGAACGTGACGATGTTCAGGACCCACGAGCACAGGCCAGCAGCAGCCTGGGACTTAGAGGCCACCAGGTCAGGCTGGAACTCTTTGTCCTGGAGAGAGAAGAATCACAAAGGTTTAGGAATGTTCATGGTTATAAGCACCATTTTTGATTTGCTATTTTTCAAGGGCTCATATTAAACTTTTTTTTTATTTTTTTTATCTGTGTTCTAATGTTTCCTTATCACAAACACACTTGGAGTTGTGTTTTCTTTCACTCACACCTGTTTAATACTGAAACTCTATATTTGGGTACAGTTCTTCTCTCAAACATAACGCCCTTGTTCCACCTTGTGATGTCATGTGGTAATACAGAAAGTTCTCCACTGTGTTTTTAAACTCCACACGCCTTCCCTAGAATCATTTGGATCATTCTCAAATAAAGGTAACAGCAACTTAACTTGAAAACTACTGTATCATGACATCACAAGGTGGAACGGTGCACTTGAGCTTTGGAGATGTAGACACACTAATAACTTACTCAAACGTGTGAATGAAACAAAACACAAGTCCAGGTCTGTTTTTGAGGAGATTAAGACTCACAAGAGTCAATTTCGTGTAATATAGGACTCTGTGGGGTAATAACTGTTAACAGTTAACTTTTAGTTTATGGTCCCTACCTTTGCTCCCCATGCAAAGTCACTCCCCATTCAGAGCACATAACATAACACAGTCAGTGTTCATCCCACTAGTAAAACTACTGCACATCACATCAGGTTTGTGAAGCTGTAGTGTATTGTTTAATACATTTATGAAAAATGGCCAACTTTGTACACAGTGCACTGCTCAGGGGTTCAAGGAGTGTGTGGGAGAGATCACTCCATGATGATAATTAAAACCACGTCAGGCAGGTTTGGGGAAAACTTTGTATCATCCAAGAAAGCTCCAAAAAGTCCATTATGGGTAATACAGAGACAAAACTGTGATCGAGCGCAGGTCAGATGGGACTTTGGCCTTGGAGCGAACTATTGATAATGGTGTTGTTTTACTCAAGACTGGTTTTGATCTTGAGACTGGCCTTGAAACCTATTTTTACCGTCTTGGTCTTGTCTAGGACTCAAGCACATTTGGACTCTGTCTTGTCTCGGTCTTAATGCCGCATGGTCTTGGTCTTGTCTTGGACTCGAGGTCTGACACTTGATGAGTGTGATCATATGTCATTACGGCCGGTGGTTAGAGGCTGCTTAATATCACTGCAAAACCAGTAAGAGAATGTAACTGTAAATGTTATGAACTTGAAAAAAAAGAACACTTGATTCACTTTGAAGCAGTTGAAGTGGAAGTGGAAGCCAGTGGAAATGGGATTAAAGAAGAGGTTCTCAAACTGTGGGTGAGGGTCCAGAAAAAGAGGAATAGTGTTTAAGGGCAACACAGATTGCTTGGCCTATTTTAAGCCTAAATGGACATTAATTGGATCAAATGGAGACAGAGTTATAAAAGCATTGATGTAAATGTGCCAAAATAACTAATAAACAAATGCATGTAGGAAATTCTAAAGATGGTCTTGATTTGGTCTTAATGGGCCATGGTCTCGATCTTGTCTCGGTCTCAACCTTTAAAAGTCTTGGTCTTGTCTCAGTCTTGACTTTCAGAGGTCTTGGTCTTGTCCTGGTCTCGGGACCCTGTGGTCTTGGACTGGTCTTGGTCTCGATTAGTGCCGACTTGACTACAACACTAACTGATAACATCTCAGAGAGACTGGAAGCCTGATGAAGGAGCGTGAGCAGACCTGGACACTGAGAACGACAATCAGAGCTGTTGTGGAGATGGGCACAGCTGCTCGACCCAAAACCCAAACATGTACAAGTACTTTTGAAGAAACTGACAAATAAAGGCATTTATTCATTGGTTCAAAAATGAATTCCGTAAAATATGGCACTGGTTCACGACATTTGAGACAAACACACACACGCGCACACACACACACACACAATGACTGAAAACACTGTGCATATGGACATAGCCTTGTGATATGAAAGAAAACAATCACAAAAACACAATTCAAGATATTATGATTGTAATAATGATGATGATGATAATAAAAATAAGAATACAAATAGAATAAATAAAGAAATACACTATATTAAGTATATTAATAGAAAAAAAGGTAAATATTCAACAGAAGTTGCTGTGACAGTCCAAAGCTCCATTATCATAAAACCAATTTAGATTATCAATATGGAGATGGGTAATTTAATATTCTATATCGTAGCCCAGCCTATGAGGTCACCACAGACATTAAATGAATGATACTCTTCTCCCAGTAATAAAACATGTTATGTTATGTGGGGGAAGGGGGGGATGGGGGGAGGGCAATTATTCTGCTCATTAACTTCTCTGCTGAAACGTGATCATTGAATGTACAGTACAAATGAACGGGCAGTCTTTTATGTTCCACAGGATTCTGATCCATCCAGAGCATGAAGTAAAGTATCAGAGCATGACAGCATCACGTCATTCAACTTATATTGCCGGGTATCAGGTACAGAATACCTCCATGCATTGATACTTTACAGATGATGTCACCAGCATTCCCTGAAGCATGCTCTGTGTGAGGCTTTGTTACACTTGAATCTGAGCTCTATTGTAATGCAACCTGACCAGAAACAACTACAACAGGTGAGCTGATGTGTGCTGTTAAACAATCCTCTCTCAGATAACATCACAGTCACAAACTATAGTATTACCTTAAAGTTTTTCAGTCAGTCGCGCTCACCTTTTTGTTAAAAATCAACCTCCTAAACTTAAAACGTTTTTGGTAGTTATTGCTCAAGTGTGCATTGTGTCATCATGGTAACTTCTAAACATTCCACCATACACATAAATGTAGAACCCCCAGCATGCGTTCAATGCAAAGTATCAAAAGCTCCAGTGTATGTTCAATGGAGAGTTAGTGTTAACCCTTACAGACCTAAGGGCATGTTTAGTACATTTGTCCTCACCTGGATTTTTTTCTTTGTTTTTCAGAACCTGCATGCTGTAGTTGTGTCATAAGGCTGTAATAAAGCTATAGGACCCCAGAAATACACATAGAAAAAAAAAAAACACTTTCATACAAAGCACACAGCAAACAGGTATATACAACTTTTTGGACATAAAAAAAATGTAAAAAAAAGCTTAATGTAGGGCCTTAGCTACAAAAGTACAAATATCAAGTCTGTAAGGAAACTCAAAATATCCTTATTGCCTCAAAGCAAAAAAAAAAAAAAAAAAAGCGTAATGGCCTCCTGACTTTCATGGTGTCAGGTCCAGGACACAGAGCCACATCACTTCCTGCATTTCCATGGGCTTTATTACATTTGGATTTGGAGATTTTGAACAAGTTTCAAATAAAAATAGCAAGAGATGTGCAATTATGCAGATCAACATAATTTTCCATTTATTTGAGATATAACTGCACTTATAAACCATTTTGACTCAGTACACTCTTTGGCAAAGTTTGGACCAATCAAAATGCGCATGAGTTTGGTGGAAAACAAAGTTCCTATTGGACAGTCTTTTTCCCTACGTCATTGCACAACGTGGGATAATGCCAGAAATATGGTCAGAAAGCCACAACTCTCAGCTTTCCAAGAAAAAAAGTGTGTTTCTATCTTTTACCAGGTATCATATACAATACAATTGATCTGGAAGGATTAACCACCAAACATCACAAACTGCAGCTCTGTTTTACACAGAGTTTGACTCTTATTGCTTACATTAGCATACAAGCTAACAACTACATAATAAATGGTCATATTTATGTAACACTTTTCTACTGTTCAAAGCCTTTTGCTTCACGGAACCACTCACCCATTCACACAAACACACACACACACACACGCACGCACATTCATGCAACAGTGTACACCCCACCCCTCACCCCATCTGCGGAAACTGGAATTGCAATGTTTACGTCAAAAGTGGGATTCAAACTGCCAACCGTCGGGTCAGAGGAAGAGCCAAGCAGTTGTGTTGGACAGTGATGGAGCTCAGAGATGAGCTAGTATTACTCGTGGGCGAGTGTAACAAACATATTAAACATGGCCATCGTGTGCCCTGTCTGCACACGTCGCACTTGATGATGTTATTTTGCTCTTCTATTAAAATGAATTGGGTGTTGTCCTATTAAACTGAATGGAATAGAATGTTCATATTAGTGCCAGGCTGTGTGCAGCAATTCTAATATCACTCCTGGAAGGGTCGATTTATACAAAATACCCTTTTAAATATCTTTGGAATGGAATCTTGAAACTGTTGCTTATAACAGTCTGCTAAAACTCATGAATCTCTCTCCCCAATCTGGCCGTCTGACACCGTCACATGCTACGATCTGAATGGACCATTAATAACATAAACAAACATTAGTTTCCATTTGTTTTCTAACTTTTTGTCTGTGCTTTTAGTGTCTGTGCTGAACAGTTGAGCATACAGCTCTAATGAGGTATTAAACGGTGCTGCTTCAAAGCGTGACTGTGCGTTTGCTCTCTGCATATGTCTTAATTAAAGTGACATTTTAGCGCGGTGCATGTTATCTGCGCTCAGACACACCTAGCCTCCGCTCCACTGAAGTCCATCATCACAGCGCCCTCTCCACTACACTTAATGAACTGCGTCATTTGGGCTCATTTGTGAGGGAGTGGGTGGCCTGCATGGGCTCACAGAGAGGTTCCACTCTTTGCATGTAAATGTGAAGTAAAAAGTACAGATTGTTTAAACAATCATTTGTTTTAAATTACTTTAGACTGTACTTTAAAATAAGATGGAGGACAGTTTGGTATAGTCAAAAAAAAAATCCATCCATCCAATTTTTTATTTATTTATTTTTTTCCACTTCTATGGGGCCAGGTCATCGGGGCAGTGGCCCTTGAGCACCTGATAGAGAGTATAGAGCACCCCAAGAGCCTCAGAGGAGCTTTCACCACCTCATTGACTTCAGCCAGAATGACAGGTGAGTCCACCTCTGAGTCTTCAGCCTTCTGCTTCCTCCTCAGAAGATGTGACACAATTGTACACAGCAATTTGACAAACCTGATGAGATGTGCTGTCATTTCATTAGAGGTGATGCGTGCTGATTGTGTTATGATATCGCTCTGAAGGGGGAGTGACTTAGTGCAGTGCTTGTTATGTGTTTGCACTTAATACGCCATCAAATACCCAATCATTAAGGACACTTTGGTCTCACTGACCTGGAGGTATGGCTGGATGGCTTTGAGACAGGCCTCGTGGATGTTCTCCTTGTTGAAGTTGATCAGAGAGTCCAGGAAAGTGTCCACTTTGGCCATCATGACTTTGGCCGCTTTCCAGCTGCGATCTTTGGGCACTTTACCATTGGGAGCAGTCAGAACCATCACAGCCGCCGTGACGTTAGTGACCGCTGTCACCGGGGAACCAAAAGACTTCAGCTCAGTCAGGTTGTTCTGAAACCAGAGAGAAAATGACTCGATTTAAAGCAATGTTGGCGACTGGACCAGAACTGAAGAAGCTGCTTGGATGAACTGTGAAACATCTTCACTCTAAAACCTTTGTCCAGTGACAAAATTTTATTTTTTCTTTTGCTGTGGATCCTACCTGGACAACTGAAGGATTACACACACACTCCAGTCAAAGCACTAAGATCTCCATGGAAACAAGCATACAGCAGTCCCTCCACCAGAAAAGTTTCATAGTGTGACTTTATAATGACATCCAACTTTAACTCAAACCAGACCTATGTTAGGTGATTTACAAGACGTGGCATTTGAAATAGTGGAGCTTTCTGGGTAAATGCTATAGTTTGGAGTGCTGCATGAGCTGCTGTCAGCGTGGAGCGTTGAGAGCAGTGCGGTGAGTGTAATAGAGTTTGACTCTGTGCTGGAGGGGAGTGCAATAGACAAACAGATTAGACGAGGAAGTGGAGAGCCGACAGAGCTCGTCACACCGTTAATGAAGTCACTTGTTCTGCCTGTGTGGACGCGCCGCACCTTTAAACCAGAGGGGCTCAGGAAAATCCCCCGACTCCGCCTCCTAAACCCAGAGGTCTATTCAAGCCTGCACCCAGCAGAACGCAAGCTTTATTATTACAGCTAAGACTCGCCTTAATCCTGCGGTTCAGTGTGGTTTTATACAAGTGAGCCAATACTGAGTTTTAAAGAACACATATTGTGCTTGTGTCTGCTCTATATTTATCATCTATGAAACCGGTGGGTCATTGTGTTATAATTTGCACATTTTAAATTGAAATATTCATCTAAAAAGGCAAAATAAACAAATCAGATGACCCGAAGGAAATTCAAATCTCAGCAGCAGCAACACAAAAAAGATATTGAGGTTAGCAGTCCATCCACATCAGATGTGTGTTGTATGTTTTCCCAACACATTTACATTGTTTTACCAAAAAATGCATTTTAAAAAACCATACGGTATTGTATCAAGTGTATATTAAGAAGAAAACTAGTATACGTAGGCTATATGGACTAATCCAGGTCAGTGCTCGTGTGGTGAGCAGACAGTACAGAGTAAAAGTACAGTATACAGACAACAGCAGATGTTTTATGCAGGTTTTTATAACTCTGTTTCTCTCCAGGCCTTTCAATTGCCCTTTGGGGATAAATGAAGTGAAGGGATTGAATGAACTGAATTCAATTTGGTCAGATCTGACATACTGAGTGAGCTGTATGGGAGGCGGAGGCGGAGGCTGTCAGACCTTGTTCAGAGTGTTGAGTGCGTCCTGAGCTGCGAGCAGAGCGGGCTCAGCCTTGGCTAGGTCCTCCTCACAGTCCTTCTGCTTCCCACTAACCACCACAGCGATGGCCGCCACCTTCTGCTCCTCTGCGTCCGCCACGGCCTTCTCCTTGGACACCTTCTCCGTCTCTACGCCGACCTCCTGCACACGCAAACAGAGCTTTAGTTTGTCAGGGCGTCTCAGAGTGTGCTGTACAAACTAATCATGGTTGTACTACGGTAGGGTGACCATACTTCTATTTGTGAAAACCCTTACACATTCCCGGGGGTGAGGGGTGGGGCCTCGACATTGAGCTACTCTTACCTCGCAAACTGTGCACATGGCCTCCCACTTGTCCCGACCAGGATGGAAAATGGGGAATTTCTTGTCCAAGTCATTGTTAAATGCCCTTCGGCATGTTGCAGACTGACCAACTGTTTGTGTCTCGCTCCTTCTGAGTTACAGAGCTACGAGAGACACTCAATTTAATGGCCCAATGAAAGATCAGGAAAACCTGGACATTTGCATCACTTTATGAAAAAAAAAACAGACGCCCAGGACAGGACGCAAAAAACTGACATGTCGGGAAAAACGGACGTTTGGTCACCATATGGGGAAATGTAAGCTTCATTTTATTTTTACTTTTTTATTTATTTATTTTTGCAATGACCAGTTTTGGGCCTGTATTATTTATTAACACTATTTAGATTCACTGCAGGGTGACTTGGTCAGATGAACAATGGACAGTTTTCACAACAGAAACTATTTTATGTCAGATTCAAGCAGCAAAACTTGAATCAAACTCCCCAATGAAGCAAATGGGATTCACGTTTTAGAGACAAAAGTGTAAGGATTTCATTATTTTTAATGGGACTAAATTGTCAGCTACAGATTTGTAGTGCTTGATAAAATAAAATAATTTCATTGTCAAAGTGTTAAAGTGTCAAAGCTTACTGAAATGTTTATTACATGGTCGGTAGCATTCTTGCTCATTCTGGGACTAATTGCTTCATCAGTAAAACTACACTCATGGTGTTTTTCAGATTCTAGAATATGGTGAGAGCATCAAGTTAGACTTTAATCTAGGGCAGCAGTAGCTCAGCTGGGGCAGCAGTAGTTCAGTTGGTAGAGCATTCGCCCACTGATTGGCGGTTCAAATCCAGCTCTCAGACATAAACATCACAGGTTGAGTGGTCAGATCCACTGACCCACAGGTTGGCTGGTGTGATTCCAGCTCCCACAGGTGAATGCTGTCGTTGTGTCCTTGGGCAAGACACTTAACCCACCTTGCCCACAGTGTCTGTGTACACTGGTGTGTGAATGTGTGTGTGAATGTGTGAGTGGTTCCTTGTTATAAAGCGCTTTGAATGCCTTGAAGGTGGAAAAGAGCTATAGAAAAATGTGACCATTTACCATAATCTGAGTTTTACTTTAAAATAACCTGAGCATACAACAGGAGAGATGATTAGTGCTGTAAAACAAGACTCTCACTCATGAAATTACAGTCACAAGCTCAATAACAAACTGTTTTTCAGTGTGTCTCACTTTTTGTTGAAAATCAAACCCCTAAACAGAACCATGAACGCTCATATTGATCACAGACTCCTGCAAATGTGCTCTTTAAATCCATTTGGAGTTTCCAGACAATCTTAAAACTTTTTTGACAGTGTATACTAATGTGTGCATTGTGTCCATGGCACCTACTGAACATTCCACCATAGACATACATGTAGAACACCCTCAGAGTCATATCACTGCAAAGTATTAACAGGAGAAACTGGGTCTTGCTCCTCATCCAGGAGTATGACATTATCACATTCTAGAATCTGAGAATCACTTCTGTAATTGATACTTTGCAGTGACATCATGCTGGGGGTGTTCTACATGTATTTCTATGGTGGAATGTTTACAATGAGCATTCATGGTCCTGTTTAAGAGTCTAAAAACAGTTAATGCTAGACAGTGAGACAGAGAGACTTGTTAAACTGTACAAATCATCTCTGCTGTAGTTCGAGCTGTAGTCATCTCTCTCTGGTCGGATGGGTGAGGAAAGTGGTGATGGGGGGGGGGGGGGGGGGGAGGTGGTGATGGGGGGGTCTGGGGATGGATGTGGGAGGTGGTGATGGGGGGGGTCTGGAGATGGATGTGGGAGGTGGTGATGGGGGGGTCTGGGGATGGATGTGGGAGGTGGTGATGGGGGTTCCGGGGATGTATATGGGGAGGTGGGGGTGTGGATGGGTTGGAGGAGGGAGTTGGGGGAGTTGGGGGGGTTGAGTGCTCGCCTGGATCAGCCTGTCAGCGTCCGCGTTCTTCTGCTTCAGTTCCACTTCCTGAGCAGCCAGCTTGGCCTTGAGGTCATCCACCTATCAGAGACGAGACAGGAGTCAGGAGGGCACTGCGAGCTGATTGGCTGGTTCTCTGGGGCGAGGACTGGAACATATGAGAAGCTTCAACATACAATATAGAGAATAAAGATGTATGGTCTGGAGCACAGGAAGGGGGGATTTTGGTATATGCTCACTAAAGTTACAGAGGACATCTCCACTTGGCTCTGTGGAGATCACAGACTGTAGACTTACGTGAGTGTGATGTTACCCATAGCATTTGGATCCAGTCAAATGAAGCTCAGAAGGATAGCAGTTACAGGAGTGAATTTGGAGCCGAGTTCCATATTAAGAAAAGGAATTAATTAACAATTTTCAGACTATAAGTGGCTCCAGAGTATAAGTCGCACCAGTCAAAAAATGCGTAATGAAGAAGAAAAACACATATATAAGTCGCACCGCACTATAAGTCACACTTTTTGGGGGAAATGTATTTTATAAAATCAGAGACCAGGAACTGACTTTTCATCTTGAAAGTCAAGTTATAGTAATAATAACAACAGAATAAAGAACAACAGGCTGAATCACCTATTCAGCCTGTATGTTAGTATGTTAACATATTAAGAGTTCTTCAGATAAAAAGAGCATAAACAATATAAGTTTATCAAAGTCACAATCTCATCATCGGTGTCACTTCTGAGCAACATGTGGCCATACCAGCTTGTAAAAGCCTGATCCCGTCAGATCTCAGAAGCTCAGCAGGCTGGGCCTGGGTAGTACTTGGATGGGAGACCTCTAGGAATTCCAGGTGCCACAGTTGGACGCCAGTGGCAAAAAACTGTCTTTGTGTCCTTAGGCAAGACACTTCACCCACATTGCCTAGTATAAAAGTGGTGTGTGTGTGTGTGTGTGAGTGATGGTGGTGGTCGGAGGGGCCGATGGCGCAGATTGGCAGCCTCACTTCTGTCAGTCTGTCCCAGGGCAGCTGTGGCTACAGTAGGAGCTTACCACCACTGAGTGTGGAGTGACTGAATAATGAACTGTAAAACGCTTTGGGTATCTTGAAAGGTTCTATATAAATGCTATCAATCAATCAATCAATCAACTCCACACAACATCTGTTGAAAGTTGCATGGTTCACCCATGTTGCTGTGAAGCTGTGTTCTCCATCCCCACTTTTCTCCAGTCCCTCACAAGTTTCTCCCCCTCTTCAAACTTACTTTCTGCTGCTAGATTACCATTTTCTGTTGCATATTTCACTACTTGCAGCAGGACAGTGGCTCTTTCGGCAGGAGACATGTGCAAAAAACTGATACATAAGCCTAGAGCGCTCTCTGGAGGCTGTCAGACTGAAAATTTTAATATATAAATCACACCAAAGTATAAGTCGCAGAACCAACCAAACCATGAGAAAAAGTGCAAATTATAGTCTGAAAAATATGGTAAATAGTGAAGTAAACACACCAGGATCATGTAGAGTGGGTTAATACGAACATTTAAGACCAAAATGACGAAGCTCACAACAGCAGTTACAGAGTGAGGGGACACAATATTCCATTGGGAGTCAATGGGAGCCAGAGTCGATGGAGCTGGTATATGGTGGAGAGGTTATTATTTTGTCTGGAATGTTTAACTTTATGGCATTAAAGCACGTATAAAGCAAAGTGCAATGTATTACCTGTAAATATTCAAAAACTGTTTGAGATGAGAACAAGCCACTACAACTTAAAAGGAACCTACATGTTTGAAAAAACCCAGATTCAGAACAAAGGTTATGGAGCGAAATGTTGCTGTGAAAGGAGGTCATTTATGGAAAAGTCTTGGCAAAGAAATAAAAGAATCAAGTACAATAATGGCATTTAAAAACACATCAGATCTAGTACAGTGTGTATAAAAAAGGAAACTAAGTTGTTGTACATAAAAGTGAAGATTCCTGGTTGCAACTTGATTAATAATTGAGCCTGACCTGAAATGTACAGATTTGAAATGGTTAAAGTAACTATCTGTGTTGATGTTTTGTCTGGAAAAGGGACAGATAAAGTAAGATGACTCTTCTTTCTGCTGCTTTTCATTCATTTCTAGTGTGTTTGATGTTGTGTTAATGTTAATGTCTTTTTATACTTTATGAATGAAATACATAAACAAACAATACAGAAAAAGCAGACCTCTTATGCAAAATGTACTTTATTTATCTTTATTTGGGCATTTTAAATTTGGTACTGTTTGAACCGAACTAAAGTAGTGCGCTGTTTGAAATTGTCAATGCCTGTAAACAGTGAAAATGCAACCGTGCACTTTAGTTGTAAAGCTGGCTGGTTGCCATGTCACTTTTTAACCCTAATAACGACTATCACGCCTTTATTATTGAATGCTATTTAGTTTGAACTTTCATGTACACCAAGCTATTGTGGTCTGCTAATGTACTCAGTTTCCATAGCAACAGGGTCAAATGAAGGCTTTGTAAAAAAAAAAAAAAAAAAACACTAAGCATCAGTGTGCGGGCCATGGCAGTGTGAGTGTGTTTGCATGAGCGGGTAAGACTCACAAATCTGTCCACATGACGTCTTCTGAGGTCAAAGATCAGCTCCATTCAATAAATTCTTTATTTTTAGATCAACAACATGGTTTAAAGTCAGGAGGAGTTTAAATAAATTAAGATTAGGGCATAGACTGTAAAGTTGAATTTGATGAAGTCAGGATGGAGTCACTCACAGCATTCGGTTATGTACAAATGAAGCTCATCGAGGCTAGCAGTTATAGTTGAAGTTATTAGTAGTTGGGTCATTAAACTACTACATAAAACTGACTCTGGCCTTCCAGCCCCTCTGTCCCCCACCACTTGAACTGGCCCTATGAGTCTCCCCTCCTGTTGCTCCCCATGCAAAGTCACTCCCCCTTCAGAGCACTATCACAACACAGTCAGTGTGCAACCTGCTAATGAAACTACTGCACATCACATCAGGTTTGTCAAGTTGCTGTGTACAGGTTTCTATATTTGTATCATGTTTTTGTGTATTTATGGAGAATTGTCGTGTGGGTGCATGGGTGACTTAGGCTTGCGGGCGGAGCTTTGGACACAATCTTACATCTGACTGTAAGGAGGGTTTGGTTAGAGTCCAGAAGAGCTCACTGCTACACACTATACCCTATACCCTACACACTATACCCTATAAACTATACCCTATACACTATACCCTATAAACTATACCCTATACCCTATACACAATACCATATATTGTACACATACCCTATACCAGGGGTGTCCAAACTTTTTTCATCAAGGGCCACATATCTAAACACAGACAAAGCAGAGGGCTGATCAAGGGCCGTAGACTGATGCTCTGTACAGTCAATAATTGAAATATGGGCATGTTTAACACATTAGAATGAGCCATCAGTCTTTATTCATGCTAAGCTCCTTAAGACCACAAGTAAATATTAAATATCAGCTTTATCAAGGTAGATTTTCAAAAAACTTGCAGTAAATCTTTGTTTTTTAACTGATGCAAGGTTATTTGGGCCAATTCAAATGGAAGTCTGAGGTCCAAGAACAATTGGTCTGAGGGCCGCATTTGGCCCCCAGGCCATAGTTTGGACATCCCTGCCTTATACCCTATACACAATACCCTATACACAAAACCCTATACACTATAAACTATAAACAATACACTATACACTATACCTATACACTACTCACTATACACAATACACTATACCCTATACACCAGGGGTGTTCACACTTTTCAGCATGTGAGCTACTTACAAAATGACCAAGTCAAAATGATCTACCTAATACAAAGCCAAACAAACTGCACTGAAACACTCTGTGCCCCTTTTTTGGACCCTCACCCACAGTTTGAGAACCTCTTCTTTAAGAGAACTTCCTCTGGCACTTTACACAAAACTGTGAAAAAAGTGAAGGAAGATTTTTAAACCTGTTTTTTAAAGTTCCAAACTGGAGTTGCATTCTTTTCTGGTTTTGCAGTGATATTTACCAGCCTCTGCACATTTACCAAACCAAACACACATCATGACAAACACAGATGCATTTGTGCACTTTTGTTAGACAAACTTCAGCCAAATGTGGCAGTAGGTCTGTTCTGTAGATCCGCTCTATGCTGTAGACCTGCTTTATGCCAACACTGTAACACAAAAGACTGGTTTTTGCTTCACGTTTGGTCTTGCTCTTCTAATCAGCCGCACTGTGGGAGGGGCTTGTGTTGGCTGTACGCAGGAAGGAGCGAGAGCGTGAAAAGGCGAGGGGCGGCGTGCTGACGTGAGGCAGATGGACAGGTAGGATGTTTAGGAAGTTGAACCTGCCCTGTGATGCACGCTGGTACACGAGGGCACACGCTGTTGCAGACGAGCCGTGCATAGGGAGCGTGTGTGTTTGTGATGTGCCGTAGAGTCTCCGCGGGTTTCAAATGAGCGCACAGGCTGCACTGAGACGCCCCACACACTCCTGCACCCGCTACAAGTTTATTACCAACAGCAGCGGCCGTAATGAAATATGATCACACTTGTTGAGAGACAAGACCGAGTCCAAACGCGATCGAGTCCAAGACGAGACACGGCGATCTACCCACACGACCTTGGCGATCGACTGGTAGATCGCGATCGACGTATTGAGCACCCCTGCTATACACTATACACAATACACTATACCCTATACACTATACACAATATCCTATACACTATACACAATACACTATACCCTATAGACTATACCCTATACTATAATATACAAAGATAGATTTTGCATAATACCCTCTTTAATGCACATATATTATTTTCTTTAATTAGGAATAAAATATAATTATGCACATCAAACCCTGTCAGTCCTGGAAAGGTCTGTTGCAGTGATTCATAATGCAATGTTATATATCCTGTGCGTGATGTGGTTTTGTGTTTCCATGGTAACCACTACAACATTTGTGACAATAGGAGAGTTTGTTACTTAGCTAATTAAGTTTCAGAAAGTTAACTTTACATTTTCTCCTCCAAATAAGCCCACTCAAATGAGTCATTTTCATCGGCTT